TCTGAAAATAAATAAGTATGTCATCAATAAAACGATGGCAAACTTATCAAGAAAGTCCTTAAATACACAGTTCATCAAATCCATGAAAGCCACTAGAGCATTGGTCAATCCAAATGGCATAACCAAAAACTTATAATATCCATACCGTGATCTGAAAGCTGTCTTGGGTATATTTGATTCCTTCACCTTTAACTGATGATAAGCGGACCTCAAATCAATCTTTGTAAACACCATTGCTCCTTGCAACTGATCAAACAAATCATCAATCCGAGACAAAGGATACTTGTTCCTTACAGTGACTTTGTTTAATTCTCGATAATCAATACAAAGCCGCATCGAACCATTCTTCTTTTTCACAAAATGAACTGGTGCACCCCATGGAGAAAAACTTGGACGAATAAAACTTTTGTCTAACAATTCTTGAAGTTGAATCTTTAACTCTTTAATTCTGATGGTGCCATACAATAAGGTGCTTTAGAAATAGGAGTTGTTCTTAGAACAACATCAATGAAAAATTCTATCTCTCGATCCGGAGGAAGACTAGGAAGATTTTTAGGAAAAACTTCCAAATACTCCCTAACAACTGGCACATCTTCAGGTTTTAGCTCATCCCAAACTAAAGTATCAACTACCAATGCCAATAAACCAATACAGCCTTTACAAATCATTTTTCTTGCCTTCATTACAGAAATGATTGAAAAAAAATACATTCTTTAACCTTCCAATGAAAAGGAATTGATGTCCCTCTTGAGGTCTAAAAACAATTGCCTTTTGATGACAATCAATGGTGGCTCTATGCTTAGAAAACCAATTCATACCAAGAATCACATCAAAATCTTTCATATCCAAAACGATTAAATTCACAGACATCTCTCTCTCATTTATCATAACCAAACAAGATGTCAACACCTTATTAGACCTTAACACCTCTCCATAAGGTAAAACTACACTAAACCCACTTTTCAATATCTCTGGTACTTTACCTAATTTATTAGCAAATGTAGGAAATGTAAATGAATGAGTAGAACCTGAATCTATCAATATGTGAGCTATCATTACAGAAATGAATAGTGTACCTACCACAACAGTAGGATCTTCTTCAGCATCTCATGTCGTCATTGCAAACACTCTTCCTTGAGTCTTCTTCTGACCATCGGGCTTAGCTCCATAATTTGCAATAATGTGACTAGGTTTTCCACAAGTGTAGCAATTAAAAGTACCATATTGACATTCTCCTCCATGCATTTTCCCACATTTAAGACATTTTGGATACTCTGTAGCAGTTGAATTATCTGTCTTAGGCCATTTGTTAGCATTTTGTTGCTACTCTTGCTTCTGTTTCCGTTTTGCTGCAGTTCCTGATTTTCATTGGTCATTCTTAGCGGCATAAGTAGATTTATTCTCCAATTCTTGTCTCTTAATACCCTTCTCAGATATCATAGTCAGTTCAACTGTTTCGTTGAACGACTGAGGCCTCGACATGCTCACATCCTTGTGGATAGCTGCTTTCAAACCCTTAATGAAGAAGTTCATCTTTTCCACATCATTACCTACTATCCATGGAACACATATTGAAAGTCCTTCAAATTTAGTGACATAGTCATCAACAGTCATAGTACCGTGTTCTAATCCTACAAACCCGGTCACTTTACTTTCCCTTACTTCGTACTTGTTGTAAAACAGTTCTGTGAAACCATTCCAAATAAAGTTGGTAGCAGCTGGAGCCAACTTAATAAATGCCCACCAATGCCTAGCATTATTCTTTAGCAATTAAATAGCACAGGAAACTCGTTGAGCATTTTTCATAACCATGTAGTCAAAGATACTTTCTATAGAATTGATCCATTCTTCAGCAATTAGTAGATCAGGTCCACCATGAAAATCATTAGGACGTTGCTTCCTAAAACGCTCGTAAACAGGTTCCAAATTATCTTGTCTTTGCTGTTGAGTGGGAGGTAAAGGTTAATTTGCATGCTGGGCTCCTTGTTGTGCCATCATGTTATGAAACTACACTGTTTGTTGCAGAAACTGTTGAGTTTTCATTTGCATTTGTTGTCTCATAAACTCATTTTGTTGTCTCTGTTGATCAGCCTGTTGCTGAATTAATGCAGTTAATCCAGCAAGCATTTAAGCTATGTCGACGTTCGGAGGATCTCTAGCATATCTTTTAGGAGGCATTCTACTACAACACCTATTTCTAACCTTTAGGTTTAAGCCAATAATAATAAATATACTTTCATGTAAATGCAATATAAAACATAAAAATATTATTGTATACATTGAAAATCATAATACTGATTTACTAAGTTTCTTATCCAACCACTTATCTATATGTACTTCGCTGTCTTCAGAAACATTAAACACTGAGCTCTGATACCAAAACCGTAACGCCCCTAACGCTAAACCGGTCTAAAGTCAAATTTAGCGAGGTGGTGTTACTTAAAACATACTTTTTATACTTAAAACATACTTTTTATACTTAAAACAATGTCATTTTTAAGATGCAGAAACTTGTGTTTGATTTCATCACAAGATTTTCGTAAAGGTTTTTGAACGAAATGAGTTAGTGCGTAAAATGATTACAACCACAAAATTTAAACATTAAACAGTTATTCAAAATCGACATAGTAACGGAAAAAAAAAAAAGCATTTTGGGCCCATCTATTATTTGGAAGTACATATAAGCAATATGTTAGACTTAAGACTTGGAGTACTCAGCCAACCTTAGAAATCATTTTTTTACTCTTCAGTAACAACAATATCATCTGCATCACAATGTAAAACTAATGAGCAAAAACTCAATAATTAGATTTCAAATAAAGTATCTAAAATCTTTGTGACTAAAATTTCTTTTTTAAACATTGTTCATAAACTTTCATACTTATTCTTAGTTTAGGTATGCAACAAAATTTCGGTTCTAAAAGGACGTTTAGTTAAAGAATTCAAACCATGTGATTCGAATCATTTTCGATTTACGTGAATTTTTTGTGAGAAAAAATACTGTAGCGAACCACGAATCATAATTCGAATCAATGAACGAATCCCTCTACCAAACATAGCCAGTAAGCCTATTTATACAAGACCTTCTCTAATTTTAGCCAATTCTATTCTCTTAAACACTAAGCGGGGTTTTTAGAATATCTTTTTCTTGTGATCAACGAGAGACTTCCCACTACCATTTTTCTCTAGTTGTCTCAAAGAAATAGTTTATCTAATTTGAGGTACCGGTCCCTCACACCCCTGCTTATCCAACCTCTCATCCATATATCATACTATAAAATCACTTAAAACATAATAACTAAATATCATAATCTCTTTCAAAATAATTCATCATGAATACTCTTTAAACATAATCATATAAAAATTTCATAAGAGAATAAACTTGCATAAATCGCAATTCTAAACAACTTATGTCAAATAAGTCTTCTGATGCAGTTTTAAAAATGCTTTAACTCTACTTACCTGAATTTCGATCACCACTTTGCAAGCACAAACTAGTTGGTTGTGGGAGCATTCAATGTGCTAATTAATTAACCTTTAAAAACCATAACTTTTAAAAATCACATTCATATCATTACTAAACAAAACACATAACTGCGCATTGTTACGAAAATATTCATAACAAATTCATCAACCGGTGACAAATAAAAGTAGACTCAAAATCCTCTTTTTAGAACTACTACATGATAGGTTTCATATTTTTCAAACTAACCAAAAACATCCCAAAATCCGGATTGAAGTATAATCTCGTCAGGAAAATAACAGTTTGTTAGCCGAACTTATAAAATTCATAACTAAATGTAAAAAAATCCATTTAGAGTGATTCAAAAACTCACGTAAAGCTTGAGATGTATAATTTAATAAAAAAATATAAGATCAGTCAAAATCATAAGTATAAATAGCACGAAAACAGAATCTACATAGGCTGTACAGAGGATTTATATTTGAATATTTCATCAAATACCTAACATGCATATCTTAATCTTCAAAGATCACTCTCAAATACATGAATCATCATCTTAATAAGAGTTTATCTTCAAATAATCATCAACAATATCAAGCTAAAATCATTAATTTCACCCAGAAACTAATATTTGAACCAAAATCTCAAAAAACTCATTTTAAAGGGTCTACAACTAACATGTATGATAAGCCACATCAAAAATCCGAATCTCAAGTAGGATTTTAACATCTTAATCTCTGAAATTTTAATTTCTAACATAAGAAAAAAATTACCTCAAAGAAAATCGTGTTCCCAAGTGAATAGAAGCTCAAAACCTTAGTGGTTATTTTTGGTTCTAAGTTGAAAACGAGTTGAAATGGGCTAGTTGAGTTTTTAGCTCATTCTCTCTTGAAAGCCTAGGTTTGATTCTGAGTTTTGGGTGAAAAAAAGAGTGAGAAGAGAGAAGAAAATGATATGGTCGAAGTTCTACGCTTTTTGGCTGAAATAGACCCAAAAATTAAGTCTAAACATGATAGAAACTAAACAAAAGTAAAGTGACATTATAGTAGAACAAGTGTCTAGATCTTTCTAAGCATCTAATAGCTGTCCTAATCTCATAAAATCAGCTCTAAAGTCTCTAATTTTCTTCTTCAATTAGGTACCTAAAAATCACTCAATTTACTAACATAGCATTCTCTCACAAATACTCAAAATAACAACTAAATCCTCAACACATATAATAAAAATATAAAATATATATTCATCATTAAATCAATTATAATAGAGGTAAAATATCATATCAAATAATCATAATAAATATCATTTTTTCTTCATAAATTTAGCACATTGAGTTCTTACATCGAGCTAGTTGCACTGCACATTAAAACTGAAAATTTGATTAGCAAAACTATAAAGGATTGTTTGGTTGGGGGATTCGTACCCCGATTCAAATCATGGTTCATAGTTCGCTACAGTGTTTTTTCTCATAAAAAATACACGTAAATCAAAAATGGTTATAATATCATGATTCTAATCCATGAACCAAACGTCTCCTAAGTTTAATAAAATCATATAATAGCTATAATAATAAAATATAATACCAACAAATAGCTTTAAAGCACACGGTAAATGTGATGCATGATTTTAATTTACTAAATTTATTTATTATTGATTTAAGGCTTAATTAAATCTCGGATATTACAATTGGGCACCGTCGTAACTTGTATAGGCACCGTTCATTGTTCTATACGAAGGAATTGCATGTGATTATCAAAAGACATTCACCAAGTGATCATTGGAGGACCTAAATCACAAAGACATGAATCACGTAAGTATGAAATTATGTTCATCAAACCTATAATGAGAAATTTTGAAGTAAATAAGTGTCTTAACAACGGAAAAGGACAGGTACAAAATCTCTCAAGTACCTTAAGTTCATGACCCCGTAGCTCGCAATGTATGGCTAACTAAATGGATTTGCAAGGGCTTGAGCCCTCATTTAAGAGTACAAACCTCAAAATTATCTATCATCATTGCAGTGTATCTTTCTCTCAATGAGGGAACAGCATCGGTCAAATTTGGATCATCTCCGTGCTTGTCATATGCTGCTTCAAATTGCAAGCCTTTGCATCTTCAAGTCAAGGGAAGAAATTCAAACAAAATAAAGTTAAATCAAGGATGAGATCCATATAAGCTTTCGCTATGAACAAGTTAACGAGTATAATACTTACTGGTGCAGCAGAATCAGGATCTGAGAAATTAGTTTTCTAATGTCTTCACTTGACTTTTTAGATGATGCTCCCTTGTACAAAGCAGCAAGCTCATGCTCATCCACCAGCCTGGAAACCACAATTCATGAAACATATCATGACAGAAAGGATTCCCATCAAGAAATATTCAGAGTAGCAGAAAAATGGAGAGAAGGGTAAATTTTACAGATGATTGTGCAAGTGGACCCGCAGAATTCAGAGCACTCTTTTCTCCAACCTTCTTTATTATTGTTACTTTCATTTGGAAGTTAGTGGGGCGTTCTCAATTCTTTGCTTACCTTTCAACATACGGCGTGTTCCTGATCCATGTTAACCTTATGACTGTATAGACTTGTTTCAGAACCTGTAGAAAATGCAAAATTCGAAGGTGATCACATGCACATTTAACTTCCAAAAACTACCTAAAATAAAGTTGTTTACAAGCCTAAAAACAATAAAGACCTAGCGATGTGTCTATTAATATTTGGGATGTATCTATTAAAACCAAAAGATGTGTCTATTAATACTCGTACAGAAGCACTGACATCCAGTTCTAGATTATATTAAGAACTAGAAGCTAAAGCCTCACTACATGGTGTACTGCAGGCCTATTTTACGTAATTTGAAATCAATATACAAACATCAAACCACGCAGAACCAAGAGAGAAAGAAATAATCAGTGAAATCAAATAACAGAACTTTCATTGAAGAAGCAATATTTCTTTCTTAAGACGCTTCCCTCACCAGTAGAACAGTCTCATCATCATCAGCATGCATCCATTGAAAGAAAAGAGGAAAAATTCGCCTGAAATTCGCTAATAACACGAGTCCGACACTACTGAAAAGCGGCTCAATATGTTGAAGCCACACGACACGGATATCTTTGTTCCTTGGTTGGCGCTCTAAATGGCTCAACATCTCATTTAGAATTCTTTCATACCTATACAAGCATTAACAAAAAACAAACAATCAATTATCCCACAAAAAAGAAGGAACAAGTAATCAATTATTGCAAACAAAAGTAATAAGATTAGTAAGATAAAACAAAAGAAAAGGATAACAAACAACAAACGCAGCACTAAGGCCACGTTCATTTCACCGATTCGAGTTTTGCTACAGCAAAAAGCTCTCAGAAACAGTCACATCTAACTTTTTTGCTACAGTAAAAAACTCACATAAAGTCACATCTCAACTTGAATCAGCGAACTAAACGGGCCCTAAAATAACACTTGGATAGACAGATTGTCCCCAAAACCAAACCAGAGAAGATTGAAAAGAAACCACTGCCTACTTTTTGCAACCCCAATTAGTAACTAACATTATTCCTTTTAGTCACAACCACTTCCTAATGAACATGTCATGATCTAGCAATATCTACAAACGCCATAAACGACACACAAGCAGCACGTAAGAATCCAAACAAAACGAAAATAGACAAACAAGTATACCACGAACTGCGAGGATTGCCCCGCTGGATACAAGTCACAAGAAGCACAGACATCTCCACCACAAGATGCCATATCTCATCACTACAGGCAATATTCTGGCAGCAAGCATCTAGAATCGCATCTTCATACCAGCCAAGCTCAGCTGCACTCACATTTTTCCCTACGTGTATAAAGCTAACCATGCCCTGCCCCTGAAAGCAAACCCACCAAAAAATATGCCATTCACACGCTGACAAAATACATACAATCCACGCATCATCCGATGCCTTTCCAAATGGGTAAACAACATACAAAAGAGATACAAATATACAAGACAAATGCTAAATTGCAAGAGATTTCATATCACAATAAGGAATTGGCATACTTTAACTTCTGGGGACCAGTGATCAAGGGCAGTAAGCGCATAAGGAATCACCAAAGTGCACAACTTTCCCAAATGGGGATAATCAATCTGCATAATCAAGACATAAATCATCAAACCAAAGCCAGCAAAGAAGAAATTTTTCGAAAATTAAAAGTGAACTAGCACAATTTCAAACCTGTGTAACGAACCATCTGAATTGATAAGCGGCCACAATGGCGAACCCGACCGGCGCTCTAGCCGACGCAGCCGAGACCTCGTCGGCGTCGTCCGACTTATCGATGGAGCTCTCTTTAATGGCGTCCTTCAACATCGGAAGCACCTCCGGCATCAACTCCACGACCAATCTCTTCTCCTCGGGAACCACACCGCAATCCAGTCCCAATTCGCCGATCATCTTCTCATTCGCTTCCCGGAAAGTGACGGAATATGCACTGGAGAGCTCGCGAACCGCCGATTCGGCTGAAGCCGAAAGGTTCCGAGGAATCCATGAGAGAAGGTCATGCGTTGAGGACTTGGATGAGGAGAGCAAAGCGCACGCGAGAGCGAAGTCTCTGATCGAGGCCCGGCTGTCGCCGGTGTTAGGGTTTGCCGGCGAGGGATTTTGGGGAAGAAGATGATCGAGTACGGCTTTGACGGAGATGTTGCTTCCCTCCGGCGGAGTATACGGCGTCTCCGACAGGGTTCGCCGGAGTGGCTCCGACAACCTGAGAAGTGAAAATAAACTAGTAAATAAAAAATTAAAAATGGATATAAATTAAAAGAGAATATGGAATTTGGGTTTCTGAGAGGGGGAGAGAGAGAGTACTGGATGATTAGATCGTGAAGGGTTGAGAACGATTCCGACATTTCGGACTCGGTTTGAGTTGTAACTCGGAAGGAATCGATTTTTGAAAATGGATAGGGAATTTCTAAAGTAGTAAAAATATTTGATGAGGGTATTGCAAATTCTCACTTCGCTGGATTACTAGAAATGAAACCGTGTAAAGAATTTTTGTCGCACGGAACCAATAAAAGGATTCGATTCATGTGCTCCTCTCCAATGGGATCTTTTTGATATAGCACATATATTTGATTTAATATGAACGTTAAATGCACTTATGTGATATTCATGAACTCTCGAATCTAGTCTGAATTTTAGAGCCGGTTTGGTTAGAGAATTCGTTCTCTAATTTGAATCATAGTTCATAGTTTGTTATAATATTTTCTCTCATAAAAAATACACATAAATCGAAAATAATTCTAATCTCATGGTTCTAATCCATGAACCAAACGGGCTCTTAGATACCAAGAGAGAGAGATTTTAAAAAGAGTTGAGAATTAGAGCTTTGGGGTGCAGTGCTTGGCCGTAGCTCACGCATTGCTTCTGGGCGCGTTGCCGGATTTATGGTTTTGAAATTTCAGGCCCGTTTAGTTCATTGATTTGAGTTTTAAATTTGAATTGAGATGTGATTTTATGTGAAAATTTTTTACTATAGTAAAAAAGTTAGATGTGACTACTTCTGTGAGCTTTTTACTGTAGCAAAACTCGAATCGGTGAAATGAACGGGACCTTCGTCTCTAGACTCATCCAGTCATCATATTCTCTGTGGTGGTGGCAATGTGTGGAGTGACAATTTCGTTAGAGCGGATCAGACACACTTTCAAAGTGTGGTGCTATTCTTTTAGGCTATTTTTTTAGCATGTTCACCCGATGGTGATTGTGCTCTTTTGGTGCTTTGTTTTGTGTGGCCGTGGCCATCTCTTGGAAGTGGTGTTTTCGATTGCCTACAACAGCTTTGATGTGTGAGTTTCTCTCGCAATTTGACGTCGTTTTCTCGACCTTATCTCATCTTTCAAAGTCATCCGCCTTTCTAGGCGGTGCTCTTGCCAGAGCCGTTTAACTGCAGGTCTTGAAATCGTTTTGTTTGTCATATGTTTTTCTTACTGTAATAACTGGGGTTTTTACCCGTTGTCTTGGTTTGTTCTTAGCGTTTATTAAATTGATGTCTTAGCGTGTTTTGATTTAGCATTAGGGCTACGATGATTTGCTCATCTATCGCACAAAAGCTTATATTGATGGGAGAAGTTTTATCAAATAGAGCTTTAAGTGTGTTGAAATTTTTTTCCATTTTTAGATCCCAAACATACGTCTATTCTTTTGTTAGGTCATTAGCCTTGTATTCTAGTGTTTATTTCTCTGTTTTTGTTTAAATGTAAGTTACCATTCAAAAAAAAAAAAGAAGACTAGTATTAGGTGGTGGTTATCTTTATTGAATTTCATAAATAATTAGTCAATTTTACTATCAACCAAAAAAATATCAAAAAAATAAAAAATTCCGAATTAATCTATTAAAATTAAAAATGTAAGAATTAAAATGCTACCTTTCTTCTCAAAAAAAAATTACTATCCTCTAAATTTTAGAGACTAAACCACCAATTACATCTTTTTTTTTTTTTTTTGCCAAATACAGGTATGAATAACTATATATAAGGTGATTTTATAGTCTGTCCAGCACTGTGTGACGGGCTAATTTTTTCAATAAATGCGGACCATTAATTAAAACCTATGCGGTTGTTGTGAATTGGGTAAAAGTTATATTGGATACGGGTGTGAGAAGTAGAGCTGGTACCTTTATTTTAATTTTTTTGTTTTTTTTTTTATTTTCTACCTCTATAAAACTTAGGCTTTAAAATGTCATAAATTCTTTATTTAAATTTAGATTAAGACGATTATTCTTCCTATATGTTCAGAGCAGGAAAAAAGAATAAATCTATACCCATATAGTTTAGGTAATTTTTTCATGAACATTGAGTTTTTGTAAGATTTTTTTTTATATATAAATGAATGTTTTCAACACTCTATACTAATATAGATTCATATTTTATTTCTAGTTTGGATTGTAATTTATCAATGTATCAAAATGAAAGCTTTGACTGTAATTCAAATTTTTTTAGTTTAAATTTTTTTATTTAAATCAAGATTTCGTTTAGTTTGAGGGTTCAAATTGTGTGATTTGAATTCTTCCTAAAACAATTTTTCTTCTTATGTATTAGGAGCGAAAGAGAGAACCATATAGCCCATAAAAATTTGCCACGGACATCAAGGTTTTTGTAAGATCCCAAAAATATGTATCCGTAGCGTTTTGTTCTCTCTCTTCTACCTCTATAAAAAAGCTTTCAAATATTAAAATTTTTTTTATTTTAATGCTGATTGAGACGTTTCTTCTTCTTATGCATTCGGAGTGAAGAGAGAAAAAAATCCTCACCTATGTAGCTCATGAAAATGTCTCATGCATGGACATTGACCTTTTAAAAGACTTGTTAGAAAACACTAAAATGTCGATTTCAACCATTTTAGTTTAAACTATAAAAACTTAAATATATGTTTTAAATTGTAATTTGAACAGACATTTTGGATATACCACATGTATGTTATTTTTTAATTATGCAAATAAATCCTAAATTTGCATAAATGATACAACATGATTTTCAATAATCAATAATTAGGGATAAGATATACCTTGATCCATAATGAATTCTCGAAGAAACCAATCGATTATAAAATAGATTTTAAAAGAAACTGTGTTTCTCTCTCATTACCCTCTTTCTAATGTAAATATACGCTTATTTATAGGTCAAGAGATGACAAGTTTCTTAATTTTATCAAATATTCTCTTTCCATAAAGAGACATTAATTTAGGAAAACTTTCTTTTCTCTAGGTCACCAATAGAATTTATCATTTATTATTTTTCAAACCATAAAGCAAGTCATGTCATATGAGTTAAGTGGGAGAATGTAAGAATTAAGTATAAATTTGAACTAAAAAAATGAATTTGTGTTTGGATATGTGTGAAAAATATAGATTTTAGAGAGAATGTGCGTAAAATGTGAACAGATACTTGATCATCTATAAATTTTTCTAACTTGGTACGCTTGATCTTTATATAAATTATTGTACATAGCAACGTGAGTTAGAGGTTCCATTGAATAAAAGAAATTTTAAACTCACTCAAACCAAGCTTAAGCAAATTTTGGCAAATTTTTCAATATTGGCAGTATAAATTTAGGGGAGATATTTGATTATTTATTTTCTACACTTAATTCATTTAATGGTTATATGTCTTGTGTTTTTTCATTATTATTGATAATTAATAGATATAAAGATAATAATAGTGACCAACAGTTCCTAGTCAGCATTTTCACCATTTTTTTAATACGGTGTGGGGGCGTATAGCTCCTATTTTATTAACAAAAAATAAAAATCTAAATATGTGTTTGACCATGTATTCTCAGGTCTACAACCCTTAGGTTTGCATGTCCAAATTCTTACAATTAGAAGATTTTATTTCAATAAAAAAATATTTGAACTGAGTTGAATGGACGGAGAGTGATCCAAACTAACTGAGCTATACAACAGTCCACACAGTGATACAAACCCACCTTGTTACTTCGTAAATCTCACCTTGTTTTGCTGTAATCCCAGGAAGTTACTGTCATTCGACCACAACTGCCCAACACTTCTTACAAAATTTTAATAAATATCTGAAAAGGCATCATGAAATGTCTCCATCAACACCAAGCTACCTATCTAATTACTTCAACGCCCTTTGAACAGTGTTACTATCATGGTTATAGACAATTATTTAAGCATCCTTCATTTCATCGATTCGAGTTTTCAGTTTTAGATTTTTACAATAAAAAATTCTCAGAAAATGTCACATTGAGTTTTTAATTTTAGATTTTTACAGTAAAAAAGCTCTCAAAAAATGTCACATCTAACTTTTTCTGTTACAGTAAAAAACTCTAAAAAAATATCATATTTCAACTCGAATTGAAAATTCAAATTCACAAAATGAACGAGACCTTAATAGTGTATTTTACAGTTGTGTCAGCAATTTCATCCCCTTCGGCCTCATTCATATATATATATATATATATTGATTATCTTAAAACAGAACCAAAACATAAGTTGAAGAACCCCATATGAATATTATTAACGTACCTAAAGGTTTTCCATTTTTTTTCGAGAATTTCCTAGATGCCCTTTCAAATTTATTTTTGGCTGGAAATTAGCAAATAACAATCTGGTAATTTATCTGAACTTTTTTCACCCTAAAAGTACTAATTATCTCCATTGTTACGCTGCAACATCAACCAAAATGCCAACAAAAATTCAAGAATAAATTACACTATTGCTCCGTAAGTCTTGTCACAAAATATCTTATAAACTTTAATTTTAACGTTTTCTCTCTAAACTCTAGTGACTCTTTGTGATGCACAAATTTCTCACATACTAGTTGACCAATATATTGCATGATTTTACATTTATATGCATATGAGTTATATGCTTGATCTGTCATTAAGGTGCATGATCAGGTTGATAATGTACATTTAGTGTTAAATGTGTATATTGTATTCATAAGTTTCAGGTTTCCTTGCAGGTGAATCCGGTAAGTGGGAATGAAGGAAAATAAGTTTAAGGATGATTTCATATAGAACTTGATAGGTAACGGAACTCAAATATTTTAAAAGTACAAAAATGAATGAAAACGGTCGAATTTAGACGTAACGGGAAGGTTTAGTATACGTTTTGTCGGATAAATAGATGCAAATATGACACCCTTTATAATGAGTATTTAAGTGGATAAGATTGATTACGAAGGGTTGACGTGAGTTTCACGTGAATTATAGGGTGAGACTACTTTAGAAACCCTAGTTTGACACAATTTTCAGTGTTTGGGCTTTCGAGCCTAGATTAGGGCTTTTGGCGGTTATTGTTGCTTTAGAAGTTCATTAGGGCATGTTTTATAATGTATGGAAGGTTTTAGAAATATTGGTGTAAAGTTTTGATTATGAATAGTTTAAGATTTGTAGATGACATATATAACATACAAGAAATCGGTACGAGCACATACGGTTGATTTGGTAAGAAAAATGATAGGTTATGACTTAAGGTGTACTTGAGATTTTGTATAAGTGTTTTACACTTTAAAGAAAGAAGTTAGCTGCTAGAAATTTGACACAAGGGCAGCTTAGGTGAGAGTACTTCATG